AGGAGATGATCAAGAAATTGTGATTAAACTCTATCAAGAAAAGAAGAATAACTAAAGCTCATCACCAACATTTTCAACAAGGTATCACACTCACCCTTCTAGAACTTTTACAGGTAGCTTCATACTTGAGAAAACAACTTCTCAAGATATTGCAAGCTTCTCCACCAAAAAACTTCAGCTCAAGTCAAGAAAAAAACCAACAACTCATCCCATAAAGCAAACATCCAACCTAGCGACTATGATGAAGATATACCATACATCCCAATCATGATAGGAAAGAACAAAGTTATATAAGTAATCATCAACGGTAAAGCAAATGTCAACATTATCAAGTATTCAATCTACAAAGCAATGGGACTTGGACCAATCCACTCTACACCCTTCAACGTCAAGATGGCTAACAATTGGAGTGTACAACAAGCAGGAATCGTGCACAACATTCCTATCAAGATTAAAGATCAAGAATTTAAAGTAACTTTCATCGTACTCAAGATGGGAAAAGACAAAAGCTGTTACGAAGTACTTGTCTTGTGTAACAATACCAAATCGATATTCAACCTCTGACAAGTGCAAGCAATTTGTCTTGAGGACAAGACCATATTTAGTTGTGGGAAGAAAACTGTACAAACAAGAAAGAGACAACATTTTACGATGATGTGCAAACCTAGAAGAAACACAAGATCTACTTGAAGAAGCCTACTGTGGACAAGTAGGAGGACATTTTGCTAAAGAAATCGCAGCTCAAAAATTTTTACAAGCAAGACTTTGGTGGCCAACACTTTGGCACAACTAAGCCAAGTTCTGTAAAAAATGCAACATTTATCAATGAACCAAATATGCACCAAAGAAATAAACTCAAGAACTTCATCCAAAAATTCCACTCAAACCTTTTCAATAATGAGGACTCGACTTTGTTAGTCCACTTATGACAAGCTCCAAGCAAAACTAGTACATTCTAATTGCAATAGACTATATTACAAAATGGGCTGAAGCTCAATTAATAAAGACTGCTACAATAAAGAACACAACAAAGTTCATTTATGAAAACATCATCACAAGATATGGCTTACCTTGAGAACTCGTCACTAATCAAGGAACACACCTCATCAATTTAACCATCAAGATTTTGACTCAAGAATTCACTATCCAGCACAAGGCTTCAACACTATACTATCCTCAAGGCAATGGTCAAGCAGAGTCAACAAACAAGACACTCAAAAACATCCTCATGAAAATCGTGAAAATAAATCAGAAAGACTGGGATGATCACATCTACAATGCTTTTGTAGGTATATCAAACTGCATATAAGGTTTGAATAAATTCGACACCATTCAAACTCACTTACGGCCTTGAAGCTTTGACACCACTTGAGTATATCGTTCTATCACTAAGAATAGCAATATAATACAAAATCAACCAAGAAAAATCGATCAAAAAAATGACTAACCATGCTAGAACAACTTATTGCTAGTTGAGATCCTTTGACTATCTTGTTTTGAAGCTTTGGAATGCTCAAGGAGTCTTTTCTAACTTAGCAAAGATGTTGCTTCATATGATGGCCGAGGCTTTAACACTGTATTACCCTCAAGGCAATGGTCAAGTAGAGTCTACAAATAAGACACTCATAAACATCCTCATGAAAATTGTGAAAAAAAATCAGAAAGACTAGGACGATCACATCTACGATGCCCTGTAGCCCTATCAAACTGCATATAAGGTTTTAACAAATTTAACACCATTCAAGCTCACCTATGGCCTTGAAGCTTTGACACCACTTGAATACATCGTTCCATCACTACGAATGGCAATACAATATGAAATCAACCAAGAAGAATTGATCTTCATATGATGGCCGAGGCTAACTATTATCAAATAGTTCTTTTGATAGAGTTATGCAATCTCATGTGCAAGGCACTACTTTGATGATGTCCTACAACTAAGGAGGAACATGAGATGCATGTGCCGCTATTGAGGGAGAACAAGCTGTATTCTAAACTGTCAAAGCGTGAGTTCTTCTTGGAGGAGATCACCTATCTCGGACATGTGGTGCCACGAGATGGTGTGCGGGAAGATCCTCAAAAGACTCAGATAGTCATTGACTAGCTTGTTCCCCCTACTGTGCATGGGTTTCCTTGGTATGGTGGGAGTCTTTTGCCGGTTTGTGAAGGACTTCTCCTTGATTGCCACTCCTTTGATGGATATTCTTCGAAACACCACCAAGCATGCTTAGTTGGTGTGGGGTGAAAGCGTCAAGAAGCATTTGAGCAGTTAAAGTAATCATGTATATTCTAAAGATATTTGCTTGTGATAAGCCACTTATCACAAGCACTTGTGGCTTATCACAAGCAAATATCTGTAGAATATACATGATTGCATATATTCCATAGCTCACACTATGGAGTCTATGCATTCAGAGGGTATGGCTCATGAGTCCTTTTCTCTTTCTGATCCTAGTGAGGCCATGGGTGTCAGTGTGGACCAAGGAGAGAATGTATCTACTCGTGTTCTAGCTGACACTGCTGTCACTAAGCTTTCTGAAGGAGTGAAGAAGAATTGTATCAACTCATCTAAGCTGTACAATTGTTTGTGCAATGAGTTGTGCATAGCCAAGTGCTTAGTGTCCTCTTTGACTCTGGTGCTACGCATACTTTCATTAACAAGGCTAGTGATGAGGGTATAGGAGCTGTCTTGGTGCAAGACTGCTGTCTTATTGCTTACATAAGCCACAAGTTTGACACAACTTAGCTGAACTGCCAATTCGGCATAGGAAGTTGTATGTTGTAGTTGTTGCAGTCAAAGAGTGGAGGCATTATCTGTATGGTTTGGATTTTTCATGTGGATAACTTTACCACTTGTCACTCTTTTTACTCACCAGATGAAGCTTCGAGGCTGGCTAGCTCATTGACTGGAGTTTTTAATGGATGTGCAGATTCCAAACCACCAGAGTTTAGCTATGGGGTTTAAGGTGACAAAAACCGGGGATTCCCGAGTAAATAATTTTGACTGCAGATTACTCGTGAATTTGGAAGATGATTTTTAAAGCAAACAATTTTCCTGTTTCTAAAAGGAGTAGACGGTAAAGGTAATTGTTTCTCCATTGTCTAGGATGGTGAACTCTATTTTGTTTGGGAAGCTCTCCAATGGTTTGTTAGATGAAATTAAGGAGCTTGTTCACTTTGACTCCTTTGTAGTGAAGGCATGTGCAGTTGTTTTGAAGTGGGACACCTCTTCCAATGCAATTGTGCTTCCTTTAATACATGAAATGGTTTCTGTTATGATCTGTTGCACAAGGATAGAGATCTAGTCACCCTAGACTATGCTACACCACCTCTTGAGGTTCCTCACCACCCAACCACCCCCCAAGCTACCTCAAAAGCTCCACTGTGCTGCTGCTCTATTGTGAGCTCTAGGGTAAGTTAAGTCCTTTACCCTAACATGCCTTCAGTCTCCCTTTGACTAATGTTGACCATGTGGCTTCTCCCCCCCCAACAAAGTCCTTGTCCCAGGGATAAGTTGTACTGGTGATCACCCTTTCTGGGGAACCCCACTCAAGCTCCTGGTCCATCTTCCATAATAGTATATATCAAGGAGGCATTGGGCCTGTCACTTTGAGATAGTACACTTTTTAACTGGCTGACATAAAATACTAGATGCATTTTCACTCTAACTGGCAGCCATTTATTGGCACCCCAATAAGCCACTTTACCAATGCGCTCTAGCACTTTATATGGACTAACATATCGATGGAAAAGTTTGTCACTCTTCCATGTCTTTAAAGGCACCAAAGTGTTCTACTGCTCACTTTGATGAAAAGATCATTCGCACAAAGACGAAATCAACCACCTTATATTCTTGGAGTAAACTTCTCTACTCTATCCTGAGTTGCTTGCAAATTCCGTTTGCACACCACCAGAATCTCATCAAGTTCCGTAGCTAAATCAGTTGCCTCTGAATGAAGCTTTTCTTGAACATCCTTACTCAACTCCACTGCTATTTCAGGATGCCTTCCAAACATGGCAAAGTAAGGATTTAGTTTGGTTCCACTATTGTTGTAAGCAAATTGCACCAATTAGTTTCACAATTTCAATATACCAATAATGTATACTCCACCAAGCATAGCATGACTTCAAGTTGGATTTCTGGCCTTTAACTTTCTTGAAAACTTGGCATTCCACCCACTGATCCTACTCCTTAACATTGAAGTAAGGAAAAAAAGAAGAAAGAAAAGAAGGTTTGAATTGCCCATCATTCAATGTTACAGTGATGTCCTTTTCAACCCATACTTCCCTTAGGATTTCCTCAAGATTATTACTTTAAAAGTTAAAGTGACAATATATTCAATAAGCTGATAATTAGGGAGTAGAAACAACAACTGTCATTTCTAATATTGTTCACGATTGCAGGCTGATAGAAGCACAATTAGCATGCTTGAGATGTTAAGAAAGAGCACTGCCAGGATAGAAAAGAGATTCCCACAAGCATTTAATTCACTGTGACCACAGGAGTTTGGAAATAGCCATTTTTTCCAATATAATTTTTAAAGATAAGACAGTATGACAGTCTCGAGAAGAAAGCTTTGATCTTAACAAAGAAAACGACCTCAAACATACCGGGAAAGTGTTTTAGGGCTCTTGATGGAGAATGCGAGGAGGGAGAGCGATCCTTCCTCGCAGTTCTTGGTGCTTCTTCGATCGTGCAGGGAATTGGAGCAGGCGCGGCGGCTCCACGCTCGGATCTTGGCCAGCGCTGAGTGCCGCCACGACAAGCTCCTCGCCAATTTCTGCGTGGAGATGTATGGCAAATGCGGGGGCGTGCGCGATGCCAGGTATGGTTTCGATGCTATCCAGGAGCCGAGGCTACTCCTGGAACATCTTGCTCCAGGCTTACGCTCACAACGGCCGCTTGGATCAGGCCCGGGAAACGTTCCACCGGATGCCCCGGAGGGATCTCACTGCCTGGAACGCAATGATCACGGCGAGTTCTCGCGGCGGTAGCGTGGATGAGGCGAAGCCTCTGTTTGATTGCACGACGTCGTCTCGTGGACTGTCATGATCCAGGCGGTTGGTCGGAACGGGCATTGGAGGACGCAGGTAAGCTCTTCTCTTTGATGCCTGAGAGGAATGCGATCACTGAGACTACAATGATCCAAGCCTATGGCGAAAGCTCCCGCGTCCATGTAGCAGTTGGGATCTTCAACAAAATCCCAGAGAGCAACCTCTTGCCATGGACTTCCATGCTTGCTGCATATGCCCAGAACGGGCAGCTTGAAGAAGCTCGCGCGGTGTTTCACAACATGCCGGAGCACGATCTCGTCGCGTTCACCTCAATGCTCACAGTGCACATCCAGTCGGGGGATCTCGAGCAAGCCAAGGCCATCTTCGCCCGAATGCCCGACCAGGACATCATCTCCAAGACAGCGATGATCCAGGCCTTCTCGCAAAACGGCCAGCTCCGAGAGGTCGGCTCATCTTCGAGGAGATGCCCGTCCAGAACATCGTCTCGTGCACAGCTCTTCTCTCCTCGTATGCTCGGAGCGGCGATCTGGACCGAGCAAAACAGATGTTTGACAAGATGCCGCAGCGGGACGCCATTGCTGGACGTCTCTCGTCGCTGCCTACGCTCAGAGCAATCACTTGGAGGAGCCCAGGAGCTTGCTCGACCGCATGCCAGTCCACAACTTGGTGCTCACCACGGCCAATACTCGCAGCTCGGGAGAATCGACGAGGCCGAGGTGGTGTTCGACAAAGTGGTGGTGAAAGACATCCTGGCCTGGAATACGATGTTGGCGGCTTACTCGCAGCATGGCTACATCGAAGAACTACGGAACACTTTCGACGCTATGCCGGAGAGGGATATCGTCTCGTGGAACATCGCAGTGGCGACAGCACGGGCACGTCGACGAAGCTCGAAAGCTCTTCTCCAGCGTGCCACAGTAGGACTGCGTTTCCTGGACGATCATGATCGCGGGCTATGCCCGGAACGGGTATATGAGACACTTTCGACGCCATGCCACCGGTGTCTTCCGAGGTCGTCTTCTCCAGCGCGATGTTCACTCTGGCCGAGAGCTTCTCCGACGCCATGGAGTTTTTCTACGCCATGAACGCCGAAGGATCACTCCAGTCACCTTCACGAGCGTGCTCGGCAGATGCAGCCACGCGGGATTGTTTTCTCGGGGACTCGGCTACTTCCGATCGATGGTCTTCGACTTCGACGTGGATCCTGTCCGCGAGCACTACAGCTGCGTGGTTGATATCCTCGGCCGGTCCGGACAGCTCGAAGAGGCCGAGGAGCTTCTGGGTTCTATCCCGTTTGAACTGGATGCTGCGAGCTGGGGGGCTCTTCTCGGTGGCTGTGGGATTCACCGCGACGTCCAGCGTGGAGAGCGAGCGGCAGAGAATGCACTCAAGCTGGATCCGAGCGAGGACGGCGATCGGATGCTCTTGGCCAACATCTATAAAGCTGTTGGTCGGACGCAGGACATGGTCAGGCTCAAAAACATCGTTCGGATGCTGAGAAGCCGGAAGCTCCAACTAGAACGAGAGCGTTCTCACAAGACAATGGAAAGCTTCCCTTACCAGCGTAAAGGCTCGACTGCGGGATCAACAGCCTCCTCGTGACTTTACAACAAGTTTTCTGCTCAAAATTCTCCGGGACAACCTCTCCATGCGCTGCTGCTTTCTCGGTGTACGTGCTGGAGAGAAGCTGATACATCGACTTGTTCTCGGGGTCCAGCTCCATGAGATGCTGCGCAGCCTGCGCAGCACGAGCTCAAGTAGCTCATCCAAGCAACAGGTCCTGGGAAGAATGGCATTTCGTCGGCATGATCCAGCTGCTTTGCTCGGCCCAGGACCTCCACCATGCAGCCGTAGTGATCGAGCTCTGGCCGCAGTCCATACTGGGTGATCATCGACACGAAGTGCTCGTGAGCTCTCCGCAGTTGCATCCTATCAGTAGACCCACGAAAGTGCTCTCGGTAGGCTTGGGTCCCTCGAGGTTGAGCTCCCGGAAGAGCTCCACGGCGGTCTTGTACGAGCCATTCTCGGCATAGCCAGCGATGAGCGTGTTCCAGGAGATGATATCAAACTCGGGCATCGTTGCGAAGAGCTCGCCAGCTGGAGAGATAGCCGGTGTTGCAAACGCAGTGATAATGGTGTTCCACGACGCGAGCTCCAGCTGTGGCATCATCTCGAAAGTCCTGCTGGCCTCCGCCAAGCGCCCTCTTTGGGCAACTGCTGCGAGTAAAGCGTTCCACGACACAACGTTCCGGCAAGACACAGATTCGAAGAAATGTGGCGCGTCCTCTGGGCTGGAGTTCACAGTGAATGCCTGGAGCATCAAATTCCATGAGAAATCGTTCATGACCGGCATGGTGTCGAAGATAGTGAACGCTTCGCGCAAATGCCAGTGATGGGCATATGCTGTGACCATGGCGTTCCCTACGATTGTGTCGTGGAGCATTCTCTGGAAGATCGCCTCTGCCTCAGCGATGTGCCCGGAGTGGGAGTAGTCCGCGACGATCGCAGTCCAGGAGATGACGTTCCTTGGCCACATTTGATCAAACAAGAGCTTGGCCGATTCCAGATCCCCAGACTGGGCATGTGTATGCTGACACAACTGCGTTCCAGGAGAAGGTATTGAGGCCATCAAAAACTGCCCTTGCCTCCTCCAAGCTCCCACAACAGGCATACATTGTGATGAGGAGATTGCCCAGGAATGTGTTGCTGTTGTGCTAGCTGGGATCCGTGAGTGGCAATCCTGCGCTTGCACTAGGCTCCCAATCACTGCACACTGCGAAATTAACGTGACAAAGGCAGAAACATTAAGGGTGGGAAAGTTTAGTGTGAAGCCATTGCCCAAACATCTGCATATTTTCTTTTAAAAATTCCTTCATTATGAATAAACTCTTCATGTTTGGCAAAATGTTCTATTCATCTATTAAAGTTAATTTATATTTTATTATTATTATTATTTTATTCCACTATGTTAGAGGACCCACCACATTGTAAGGAACCAACTCCCTATATCATATGCTAAAGAATCTGCAAAATCACAACTGAAACGATAAAAAATTTATTAAATGAGAGTGAGTTTGAAATTGAGTGCAATACTGACTCTGAGATTAAGGTTGAGTCCGAGATCAAATCCAAGACCAAATCCAAGTATTAATATAAATCATGGGGTAAAAGCCTAAAGTGATTGTCAGAGGAGATGGTTAAGGGAAGGCGTAAGTGCATGAAGACTGAGATGAAACCTTCTTCGGAGATGAAGCCTTTGATTTATGGATAAGAAATCCCAACATAAGAAAAACTTTAGTGAGGAGTCTTCTAAATGTGAGTTTAGTGGCAAAGTGTGGTCATCCAAAGCTTAATTAAATACTGTGACAGGAAAATTTTCAGCTAAAAATGTTATACTCAAAGTCGATATATATATAAACAAAACATCCCCTTATAACCTCTACCCTTACCACTTTACTATTTTACAACCACTTTTTTTCTATGATCTAATATTTGAAGTCAAAGTAAAAAACAAAACAAACTAAATTCTTTCACAACTATACTCTTCTTTTTATATCCTGTATTTGTCTTATTACCCATCCACCTTACTCTATCAGAAACTTTATCTTCCACCACCTTTATAAAATGATTTTTTATATAACTCTTACATTTAAGTATATTCTCCAACCTTGCAAAGATTTTTGCCACCATTTAAAAATATTTTCTTGTGTAATCTATATAATCAAGAATAATTGGAAAGTTTGCCTGCCGCTGTGGCGAGGCCGACACTAATATTTTATAATATCAACAATAAAACATAAAATATAATCCAAGGACTATATAAGAAAGAGCCCCTCACAACAAGTGTGAAGTGATTCTAGCACAAGTTTTCTCTTTAGTTTTGCAATATTCTTTCTTTAAGTCCTACTTAAAAAATATAAAAATTAGGAGTTAAGGGAATCCCTCTCTTCTCTTTTTCTCTCAAGGCACAAAACATGCAGAGATGGTGTGCTATTAGCCATCAAATTTGGATATGACGACCTTATAATGGCGTAAAAGGAGGTTGAAGAATCAATGGGATCTTTGTCAACTCCTTCACCAAAAAATCTACTCTCGATCATATCGTTGCTCTTCAAAATCCTTTCAAAAAAGCATATAGCAAGGATTTCCATTGGTGGAAGATGCCTAATGATCATACAAAAAGCACCACAATGGAGTAGAAGACATAGATTATGGAGAAGATCATCTGGAGTTTTGTCATGGAGAAATGAAGTTTGGCATTCTTTTCCTTCCCTTATTAACACTTTGAAAGGACAATTGGCATAGACTAATGCTCTTCTAGAGACCTTCATACACAAAGTTGAAGCATAACAAGAAACAGAAGAAAAAGCAAAAGACTATAGATGCTTGCAACATAAAAAGTGTGAACCCTTTGGCAAGTACTGAGCCAGATAATATCAAGAAAACCAAAGTAAAGTCAATCCCTTAAGCAATTCCCAAATACAAACCAAAGCCTTCACTATTCTTTAATGGAGTGAATGACTATAAAGTGATGAGGGTGTTGGGGCATCTCTCAACCCTAATCGTGGATCCAACATGCTTGTAAACTTGTAATTCTAAACTCAAGTGTAAAAGGAAATGGGAAGGAACCCTAATGCAAGGATAAGGGAATATTCTAAGGATATAGAATATTTCATGTGCTCTCTCAAGCCAGAATATAAGCCGTGATGTGAGGAGAAGGTGGCGATAAACTAGCACTGAAATAGGCGACCACTAGTGGGATGCATAAGACTCCAGTGCACAAGAACCCACAGCTGAGATGCTCCCATGTGCTAGAATGTAGTGTCTAGAGAGGGTAATTGCTGAAACAAAGAAAAATGGCAAAAAAAAAAGAGAAATCTAAAAGTGGAAGTCAAAAAAGATGGAGGTGAAAATAAAAGATGGGAGAGGAATTTAAAATTTAAAGACACAGGTAAAACCAATGGGAAATTGTATAGTTGAACTAGAGACTCAAGAAAGTAGGAGAAGAGGAGAAAAAAGGAGGAAAAAAGCAAGAAAACCAAATGGAAATAAGATTTAACCTAGCTCCCACACTCTAGAAAATGAATAAGTTAATACAGCCTCAAGCTCATGTAATTTGTGCTCAAAGCTTTCACCAATAATAAAGAAGAAAGCATAGGGAATGTATTGCTCAGTGGTGGTAACTATGAGATAAGAGATGAATTGTAATGGAAGAGAGTGATGATAGAGGATCACGGTAGATGGATGATATGAGTGGGTGTTTCCAAGGATGGGCTCTAATCTGATGTAGTGAAATGTGAAGTTGTAGCTACTGCTTGCACAAAAACTAGTGGACTACCTCTTGAAAGGTGGCAAACTGCTTCACTTGTGATTTGAGCTGGAAGAAAAGGTGTTGGCTTTGTTGGATACACCTCTAAAATCACATGGATTCCTACTACAGTCAGGATCTCCTAGTGGAAGAAGAAATCAACTCTAAAGAAAAGAAAGTCACAATATGTGATTGGTCCATCAAATATTTCACATGTTGTGCATGAGAATATCTTAATTTCTATTGATTTTTGTCTAGAAGAGCCTTTGTGATGAAGTTTTGTCCCCAAATATATAGTATAAATGGATGATGAATGGTGGAAAATATGAAAGAGATGATTGGGTATGTGTAGTGAGAGTTGGGCAGTGGTGGTGTGAGTGTGTGGAAGTGAAATTTAGAGCACGGATTATGTAAAGTGGTGATGAGATGTGAGGATGGAACTGATATAGGGAAAGAAGCTAAAGAAATAGAGCACAAACTAACAAGAGTTGAGAAGTCTTCATACAATTAGTAATGCAGCTGAAGCGTGTTCACCATGGAAAGAGACTTGCTCCATGTGATTCCCTAACTTGATGAAAGATGGAAGAAGAGTGAAAGCAAAAAGAAAAACAAGGAAAAACAAAGAAAGTAGAAAAATGAGTGAAGATGGAAAGATCCCACCACTAAAAGAGAGAGTAGTGCAAATGGCTTCTGTGATGAGTGATGATGATGGAAACACTCCAGGAGGATGTAAGACATCCTATAGAAGGTCTGGAATGCCATTGAAACTGGTCGAGTTGCTCTCAAGTGCTGGATCACAATGAGATTGCCTGAACATGTCATTATAAAAGAATCTAGGATGCTAGAACTGCCTGGAAGGATGAGAGCTTCCTTGGGATGGTAGAAATCATCTCCAAGGAGCTGAGGATACTGTCATGTGTCTTTGGTGAAGATCTGGTGGCTGGATGAAATATCACTAGTGTCGGAAAATGCCTTGAGTGTTGTAGCAGGATGAAGTCATGACCCAACTATGAACCTGAGCCTAGGAAGAGTTAAGATGAGGTGCTAAGTTGGGAGAATCTCCAGGAAAAGTTGAGATGCTGCTGGAAAATGTCCGCCACCTTTACATTGTAGTCGTATCCCAAGCGAGTAGCAAGGTTGGATGGCAACTCTAGAGTGAGAAGCACCACCAAGAGAGTAGCCACTAAATTGGAGAGTCAAAGGTGTACTCAAAAGAAAGTGAAGAAGTTGTGCTCTCCAAAGTGTTGATGCCTTGTGACCTTGTTTTGTTGACAGCTCAAAGACTATCATGTACTACGTGAAAAGGCTCCACCTCAGTGCTGAGATCATGTAGAGGAATCTGAGGAAGGTTGTGAAGAAGTCTAGGATCAAAAGTTGTATTTTAAAAAGTTGTGAGCATGTTGCCTAGTAAGCTTCCAAGGTTGTATAGTAATGTACATGCATTTTGGGAAATTCCTGTAAAGGTAGAGTTAGTACACAAGAAGAGACTTGGGGGTGGATATAGGCTCCAGATGTAAGCTCCACACTATAGGAACAAGTCAAAAACTCCATGGCTGCAGCAGATACCACTCCAAGGCATTTGCTTTAAGCAACTGGAGGTGGCTGCCTATCTAAAAGAAAGTGGTCAAACAGTGGCTTTTTAGTCCCAGTAGCCACCAACTCAGCAGCTTCATCTGCAGGAATTGCTTTCCAATCCCCCGCAAGTGTATTGCAAACTCCATTGATGTCCAAGCTCAATTGGTATGGGTCCCCTGTGACTTCTCAATTGGTGCTGAAGTTGGAAAAGTACTTGGAGAAACACCATTTAGGCAAATTCCTCACTATGCTCTAGTGAAGGAATTGATGTGAAATCCCTAGATTTAATGAAGCAAAGGAATTTCTGGATTTGTCAGTGATGGTAGAGGAGTCAAGTGTTGATGTATGTCTAGTCTGTGTTGAAGAAGTCAATCATATTGCTAGTAATGTGTCATCTTCGATAAGTTCTAGGAAAAGAACCTTGAGAATCTAGTCAACTTCAGTGATGGAAGAAGCATCCACTTGAGACAAGTTGGATGGAAGTAGAGAATGACCATGAGCATTGAGAAGAGTTGCTGCATAGATGTTGTTGGTGATTGTTGATTCTCCTTTGGCCCAAGTTGTTGTGCAAGTAGCAGTGAGATGCTACGAATGTCTCAAGATGATTGTCGCGAATGTGACTTCGGGTATCGAAAGTTACCTGTCAGCCAGTCCTTAGGACACTCTTTCCTTACTACCACGATGGCAGGAGGTCGATATTGCTAGACCCGTTATCAATTTCCCACTTGAGCTAGTTGAGAAACTGGTCAATGACCATATACTTAGATTGGATAAACATAAGGTAGGAACCCTATGTGTTTCTTGCTGAGCATACTCGGCTTGTCCCAGAGACTAACTCCTGGTACTAAGGGAGGCTTGGGGTGAAAGCCCAAAAGGTGTGTTCCTCAAGGGGGGGGGGGGGGTTCCAAATGTATAGTAGGGATAGTGGGTAGGTTGGGCATGGCTGACCAACCTGAGGCATAGTCTAGCTCCTGCTTGCGTGTTTGTCCTTGTTCTACGTCCGGCTTAGGTCTAAGCCCAAGTTCCACTCCATGCTAGCTGGTGGAATACCTATATCCTTGCATTAGGCCACTAGTATGCCGAAATAGCGCTAGACTCCGTTTAGCTCCATTTTGCATGTTGGTCCTGGCATTGGGATGCTAGTTGCTCTAGGACTATTCCAAGTTGCTCCAGGCTCTTGTCCCTTTACTCCTTGGGCTGTATGCTTGGGAGTTGCTCCATGGACTGGTTCCGTCACTTCTTGGCTCTATGCTCGAGAGTTTGGCACCGTTCCTTCGTTCAGTGGCCCAAGGCCCTGAACCTCGGGTTCCGCACTACTGTCCTTTGGACACATGGCATATGACACGTGGCATAAAGAGGGTTTAGGTTCCGCTTCGTGGTGTTATCCTATGGTAAATCACCATAGGATAAAGGGTCAAAACCATGTGCGTTACATTTGGTATCAGAGAAAGAGTCTCAGCAAGTACTATTCAATGAGATTGGGCAACTAGTCTCATTGCATACGCAGAAATGAAAACAATGATTTGAGTGGGTACACGTTTTGGTGCAAAGGCTTTGCAATCATTCCTTGAGTATGGATTTGGTTACCTTGTTGTACCTTATGATGTGAGCTTGCTCTTGGGCTCATAGGATGGATTTGAGGTATACTGTTTTACACGAGTTTGTGCTTGGGCTCATGAGTGAGGCACATTAGCAATTCGAGGTTACACTTTGGGTTGGCAGGATTAATGTTAGCCTATCGATGGTTCCATGAGTTGTTCCAATGGTTCCATGAGTTGTTCCATGTACTATGGGTGAATGCAAACCTTCCCTAGGTTTGCTATGAGTAGCAAATAGGCTGGTCCATAGCTGTTTAGCATGGCACTAGTGATCCTTCCTAGGCATGATTATGAGTGGATCAATCAAGATTGTAGGGATGAGTCTATTGATTCAAGTAATTGTTGCCGTGCTCTCTCATAAACTTTTCTTGGATTAAACTGAAGGCAGTGTGGAAAGAAGCTTGAGGTTTAGTCAAAGATGAGACCGAAAAGAGAGTCATTGGGGATGAGGGATCAAACACGTAAATCATCTTCCCTTCTTGGAGAGATGACTTGCAACGAGGTGTCAACTCATTGCTTGTGTTCACAATATGCAATCAAGAGTCTCTACCTTGATGTATGTTGGAAATAGTGGTCTTACAAATGATGAGTTATGGGATGGATAGTGTCAGGAATCCCCCAATTCTTGCCACATTCCTGACTCTCGCCGGATTCCTGACCTACAGACCACATTCCTGACTCTCGAGACACTTTCTTATTCCTGACTCTCGAGACACTTCCCTATTCCTGACTCTTTAATTTTCTGTACGATTCTTGAGACTCGAGCCACATTCCTGATGATGATGTGGTGCCTCCTCGACCTCAGCTATATTTAGGCCATCCTCGATCCAAGAGTGGTGGAGCTTCATCAACCTATAGTATATATAGGTTAGCCTTATTCCATTTTTCCACAATCTGAATCAACGCCAGTCTAAGGTTTATTCTTTGTTTCCACTAGTTTTTCTCTTTTGTCTTTTGCATTTTCCAGTCTTGATCTTGTTGGGGGTCTTGACAGTTTGATTCAGATTGTGTTTTTTCATTTTTTGCTTTAGCTCGTTTTGATTGTTTGACTACCTTTGCCTTTTTTCCCCCTTTTTTTCTTTCTTTTTTGCTGATGGAGTCTCCAAGCCATCTTGATTTCTTTGCCGAAGTCCTTGCAAAACTCCAGTCTGAGAATACCGAGCTGAAGGTGACCCTTCTTCGCATGCAATAGGAGCTTGCTTCACTTTCGGCTCAAGGATCCAGCAAAGTTCCTGAACAGAAGGTGAGTTTCCCAGTGAAATTTTCAGGCAAGTGTTCGGAGCTTTGCGGATTCCTGAACTAGATAGAGCTGATCTTTGCACTTCAACATCAGCAGTACCCCACTCTTGAGTCTCAAATCGGCGTGATTAGGATGTTGCTCAAAGGTGCAGCTTTGTCATGGTTTTCTCCTCTCTTGGAGAAGAGCATGAAAGGGGTCATGGTTCCAGAGCTAATGGATCTTCAATTGTTCAAAGAGAAGCTCGAAGCATGTTTTGGTGAGATGAATCGGGTTCGGGCTGCTACCACAAAGATGAGACGTCTCTCTCAAGGGTCTCGTCCTGCCTCGATCTACATTGCAGAGTTTTAACTCCTTGCCTTGGACACTTAGTGGGATGAGCAGGCCCTAATTGACCAATTTTGTTTTGGCCTCAACAACGGTGTCAAGGATTTGTTGCTCACCATGGAGGATCCCAAGGACCTGTCGGACGCCATCAACAAAGCTGTTCGATGTGACAATTGTCTCTTTGAACGTTGTCAGGAAAGTTGCCGTACCACCTTTTTACCGTCCCAGACTCAGGAATCCCAGCTTGAGTCTTCGGGGCATACTCCTAAACCTACTGCTCTGGTCTTGATGGATATTTCTGGTACTCCCCGACTCATTGGAGGGAAGTTGAGTTCTGCTGAGAAGCAACATCGAATATCTCATAATCTTTGTCTCTACTGTGCTGATCCTAATCACAAAGCAGCTGTGTGTCCCAAGAAGCCTCCCCGACTGCTCGAGTTCACTTTGCCTCAAAGTCCACCTTTGTTGCAGTCAAGAAACGACCTTGTCCAAACAGAGTAGGAGCTGTCTGTTTGGACTCCCCGAATAAAAATGACTTTTCTTCTTTATCAAGCTCCTCACCACCTTTTATCAAAGCCACCACTAATTCCCACAACTTCTACATCCCATGTCTCCTTTCTTTCACCAAACAATCAGGACTCAAGGCTCTGGCATTACTGGACTCGGGTGCAACTTCCTGCTTCATGGACACAGACTTTGCTGCCCGACATCACGTTCCTCTTTCTCCTACCATACGGGATCTGAGGGTTGAAGGCATCGGCGGGCATTTTGTGTCTCCATCTTCTGGACTTAGGGAAACGTTGCCCGTTTGAGTACACATCGGGTCCACCGTCACCGATATCGGCTTCAACATCATCAACAACAAGTCTCCTCTGTGGTGCTCGGTCTTCCTTGGTTCCAACTACATCAACCTTAAATCTTTTGGAAGGAATTACAGCTCATCTCTCCCACATCACCATCTCCTATGGCTTCCCCTGCTGTTCATCAAGTCCGAATCAGGAAAAGTTCCCTAAACTCAAATCAGGGTTCTGTTCTTGACTCTACGAAGTTTTCACCCTCTTCTTTTCCCTCTCTTCCATCTTACACTGGACAGTATCCTCGTCTCATTATTCCATTTAGTCGTATGCCTCCTCCTTTCTCCATAATCACTATGAAAGAACTCTTTCATGAAGAACCTATTTTCCTTTTTGCTTTGCATGTTTCTCCTGTCAATCTTCCTGAGAAGTATCATAATTTTGGGAATGTGTTTGACAAGAAAAAAGCTAGTGTACTGCCTGTTCATCAGCCTTATTACTGTCCCATTGATTTACAGGAAGGAGCATCACCTCCATGGGGGCCTATCTACCGGTTATCCCCGTCTGAGCTTAAGGCACTCAAAAAGTACGTGGATGAGAACCTTGCCTCAGGGTACATTTAGCATTCACAGTCCCCGGCTGGAGCGCTTGTCTTCTTTGTCAAGAAGAAGGATGGGAGTTTGCGGCTAGTCATCGACTACCGAGGTTTGAACAAGGTGACTGTTCGGAACCATTATCCGTTGCCCCTGATCTCAGACCTGTTGGAATGCCTCAGCGGTGCCCGCTTCTTCACCAAGATCGACCTCTGTGGAGCACACAACCTGATCCAGATCCAGCCTGGTGATGAATGGAAGACTGCGTTCCGAACCCGCTATGGCCACTTCGAGTACACTGTCATGCCATTTGGCTTGACAAATTCTCCAGCAGTTTTCCAACACATGGCAAATGACATCTTTCGGGAGTTTCTTGATCAGATGGTGATCGTCTACCTCGATGACATCCTCATCTACTCAAAAACTTAGGAGGAGCATGACAAACATGTACGCAAGGTGCTAGCGAAGCTGCGAGAACACAGCCTATACGTGAAGCTTGAGAAATGTTCCTTTGATCAACAGTCTGTGGATTTCCTTGGGTACATTGTCACTCCTGAGGGTATCACGATGGATCTTGCCAAAGTCAAGACTATTCTTGAATGGGAGCCTCCATAATTAATGTCAGACGTTCAGGTTTTCCTTGGCTTCGCCAACTTCTATTGCAAATTCATTGATCACTACTCTGACATTGTCCTTCCTCTCACGCATCCCACTCGCAAGGATGTTCCCTTCTCTTGGTCTGCTGCTGCCTAGCTCGCTTTCAACACACTCAAGGTGGCCTTCAGTTCTGCTCCCGTCTTGATCCATGCTGATCCCTCACAACCTTTCTTCATCGAGGCTGATGCCTCTGACTTTGCCATCGATGCTGTGCTGTCTCATCTCGGAGTGGATCAAGAACTTCATCCAGTCGCATTTCATTCTCGGAAATTCCAGCCTGTGGAGATCAATTACAAAATCCACGACAAGGAGCTCCTTGCCATTGTGGATTCCTTTGAAAAGTGGCGTCATTTCTTGGAGGGGGCGGGCCATCAAACAACAGTCTGGACGGATCACAAAAATCTCAAGTACTTTGCTACTTCCCGAGTTTTGAGCTATCATCAAGCAAGGTGGGCACAATTCCTGAGTCAGTTTGACTTTGTTATCAAGTACAGACCTGGAAAGCTTCAAGGCCTTCTTGATGCTCTTTCAAGGCGCTCCTATCTCAGTCTCAAGCTTGGTAATCCTACCTTTGATCAACAGGATCAAGTTATCCTTAGTCCTAATCAGCTTGAAGTTATGGCAATTTCCCTGGCCCCTCATGACTCCTCCTTGATGGATGCGATCAGAAACGATCTTTAATCCGATGATCTCACCAGCGACATTTTCCCCCATTTTCAGGCTGGACACCCAGTGACTCCCGACTGCTGGCGATTTGATGAGTTCGAGTTCTTAGATGGCTTATTATACTATGGGGAGCAGCTTTACGTTCCTAAAGGTGATGCTTGAAGGTTGGTCCTGATGGCGTGCCATGATAGCCCAACTGCTGGTCACTTCGGCATTGCGAAAACCTATGAGCTGGTTGCACAGGACTTTTGGTGGCCTCACATGGATGACTACATCAAAGCCTTTGTTACCTCTTGTGACACTTGCTCCTGGAATAAGGTACCTTGCCACCTTCCTTCAAGTTTGCTTCCTTCCCTCTCGGTCCCTTCAAGTCCTTGGGAATCCATCTCTATGGATTTCTTGAGTGATCTTCCAAGTTCTGAAGGCTTCAACAGCATTTTAGTTGTGGTGGATCGCTTCACAAAGATGGCACACTTCCTGCCATGTACCAAAGAGTTTTCGGGCGAGGACATGGCAAAACTGGTATTCAGGGAAATTTTCCGACTTCATGGGATACTTGCGGATGTGGTTTCGGATCGAGGACCTCAATTCATCTCTCATTTCTAGCAACAGTTTTTGCAGCTGCTTGGAGTGAAGGCCAACCTCTCTTCAGCGTATCATCCTCAAACTGATGGACAATCCGAGTGAACGATTCAGATGTTGGAACAATTCTTGAGATGCTTCATCAACTATCATCAGGGTAACTGGTTCGATATCCTTCCCCTTGCTGAGTTCTCCTATAACAACTCTGTTCACTCCTCTCTTCGAGTTTCCCCCTTCTTTGCAAACTCTAGCCAAAATCCCCAATTCAATCCCTCACTTCCTTCTCCATCCGAATCCTCTCGTTCAAATCCCCACTCTGAGGCATTTGTCTCCAACCTCTAGAAAATCCACAACTCCATCTCCTTCCACTTCCATCATGCTCAGGAATCTCACAAAACATTTGCCAATATCCATCGTCAGGATTGTCCCCCTTATGATATTGGGGATGAAGTCTGGCTCCTCAGGCGAAATATCTCCACCACCAGGCCCTGTTCAAAACTTGATTTCAAACGCCTCGGTCCTTTCCCTATCAATGCCATCATTAATCCTGTCACTTATCGCCTTGCACTTCCTTCCTCATATCAAATTCACCCCATTTTTCACTCCTCTCTCCTTGAGCCTTATATTCCCAGTCCTATTCCACATCGGGTCATTCCTCCACCTCCACCAGTGTAGCTCGCAGATGGGTCTGAGTATGAAGTTCAGGACATCCTTGATTCCAAGATTTCACGGTCTAAACTCTACTATCTGGTCGATTGGAAGGGTTATGGACTTGAGGAACGCATTTGGGAACCTGCGGACAACCTGATTCATTCTCCTGACCTTGTTTAGGACTTCCACCACCGCTATCCTTCTCATCCCAGTCCTCATTCTTTTTCTCCATCTCCCATCCCTCGCCGCTCATCTCATCCTCCTCTTCATTCTCGTTCATGTCCTCGTTCCACTCGTTCTTGAGGAGGGGGTGCTATTAGGAATCCCCCAATTCTTGCCACATTCCTGACTCTGGCCGGATTCCTGACCTACAGACCACATTCCTGACTCTTGAGATATTTCCTTATTCCTGACTCTCAAGACACTTCCCTATTCCTGACTCTTTGATTTCCTGTACGATTCCTGAGTCTTAAGCCACATTCCTGATTATGATGTGGCGCCTCCTCAACCTCAGCTATATTTAGGCCATCCTCGATCCAAGAGTGGTGGAGCTTCATCAACTTATAGTATATATAGGTTAGCCTTGTTCCATTTCTCCACAATCTGAATCAACGCTAGTCTAAGGCCTTTTCTTTGTTTCCACTAGCTTTTCTCTTTTGTCTTTTGCATTTTCCAGTCTTGATTTTGTTGGGGGTCTTGACAAATAGCAATGAAGCGCTATACTATTTTGTCTAAGCTTGCTATTGGAAGACTTGGGTTACAATGCTCAATTCTTTTCCGGGGTATTGCTCTTTTGAGTAGTTTGGTGTTGGATTAGTGTTGAGTTTGGTCGGATAGAGAGTGGTATAAGCTTGTCCATGTTGTGAACAAAAGTTAATAGTGTTCAGTGTTGTAAATCTCTATCGGTGGAGTGTGGCATTTATGTTGCATTTTGGCACTTGATACCCACATAAACCTTTGAAGTAATGACATTGGCATTGCTTATGGTGTTGCTCAATTGATGATCAAGTCATTGCGATACTTATATCATATCTATGTGATAGTGAGCAATGTGATTACGAAGTTGCTTGGTTAAACGATGATCAACCCCAAAGTGGTTGATAGTGAAGCTAGTCTACTTGCACGTAGTAACATTATAGTAGCTTTGACTGGATTCTCGATGGTGGTCCATTATGCTAAGCTTAAGTTGGTACCTTATTTCCTTGAAAGTTTGCCCATAAGGTGTTGGAAAAGGGTTGTAGCATTCACTTGCTATAGCTTGTTGATGAATCTGTTAACATTTAGAGTAGATTTTTGGATTGAGAAGATGTGAAGTTTGAGGCATTGACATCGCTAGCACTTGTGTTAGTGGAAGTGGCATTGTTGATTTAAGTGATAAGGAATTTTCTTTAGAGCTTGATTTTCTATGTCATTTTTCTTGTTAGTGTTTGGGCTTCACATTGGATCTTGAAGGTGGTTGAAAAAAAGTGTTAGTGCAATATGGATATCTAAAAATGTGGTCTTTGTGATCAAGCCTTGGATGTTCATTTTGCATTTTGAGGATGTCAATGTTGGATGTCGGAAAAATAGGCAAAGATGTTCGATGCTTGAGCATACTATGGGTCATGAAAATTTGTATTGAGGTATACCTATTTGAAGTTATTAGTAAGAAGAAGTTGGTTTGAGTCTTGAAAGTTTGTATTCCTGGACTAAGAGTCATTCTTTCTCTGGGATGGAAAGTTTTCCACAAATTTTTCTTAGACTTTTCCAATGGCTGATCTGTTGGTCACTTTGCTTGAAAACCATTCTGTTTTCATAAGCTAATACAAACTAGTGAAAAGGTTGAAGTTGACTTCAGTTGACTTAGATCTTAGTAGATAGTTTGTATGATGCAACCCAAAAGGGATGCTAACTTTTAGGGCTAAGGCAATTGAGTTGGATAGAGTCTGGAGTTGGTGTAAAAAAGTGGCTGTTACACTTTTCTAAAAAGGGTGACCCTTGTGCCTTTTTTCTATAGCATTTTGCTTGGTGGCAGATTGCACCTTGCATTTCGTTAAACTCTATGAGAGTGGTGAGCTCTCACTGATCTTGACTTAGTCTTGGTGGCCCTATACCTTAGTTGAGGATGGTGATGTCCAACTTAGTTGTTTGAGTTTTAGATGTTAGTATCCATATTATAGCTTTGTCTAAGTGGAGGTTGTGTACCAATATGAGTCCATCTCATGGTTTTCACTTGAGTTTTGACTTAGTGTTGATCATGTATAACTAGCCTCTTCAAGGCATGCTCAGAGCTATTGACTAGACGTGTTAGTGAGCTTATTATGGTTGAGTTGGATTCAAGTAGTCATTTAGTTTGTGCTTGTCCATAAACCTTTATTTTGTGTCTGGGATATTATGTTCATATTGGAC